TATTATCAGGGGGGGGGGCATGTTCAATAGAGAATAGTAGTGTCTCAAAATAAAATGTAGCTACTGTTACTAGTATGATTATGGAATAAACTGCTATTTGCTAATTGTTCAATGGAAGGAGATTGAAATGTTCCGATACAATTAAACAAACAAAGACAATTAAATGAAGATATGCATTAAACATTGATTTGCACCTAAGTAAAATTTAAAGTTTTATGTCATTTTATATTGTCGAAAAAATCAATCAATTGGAATGTAATAAATTGTCAAAAGTTGAAAAAAAATCGATTAATCAATAATTCAATTGAAGTATATAGTTTATAAAATCAATAAATGGGATGGTACAGCTAACGAAAATAATTAAACTACTAAGTTACATATATATTATACTTCCCTTTCATGCAAATCAATTAATTGATTTTATATAGAATAGATAGAGTATGATTGGGACTGATCAGCTAAATGTGTCTGGATCCAGATTCTGATATCAGATTTCAGACAAAATATCAGCAGTAAGATAACTTAAATCATTGAAATTTAAGTTGAATAATGTAACAGATAAGTTTCTATGGTTCATATATTACAACGTGTGTAAATATTTCTAATTTTGTCGATATTTTACAGTAATGTCTAGTACTGACTACATCACTAATAGTATGATCAAGTGTGTTGTTAACTTTAACAAAAAGAATTCTATTTTTACGATGGATCTGATGCAGATGTGAAGGCGCGAATCGGCAATGCAAGAGCTGTATATTTACAACTAAAGAACATCTGAAACTCAAAACAATTGTCAACCAACATCATAGTTAGAATTTTTAATGTAAATGTCGAGACAGTTCTACAGTATGGGGCAGATACCTGGAGAACAACGAAAGCCATCATCCAGAACATACAGGTATTTGTTAACAGTTGTCTACGCAAATAAATTCGGATCCGTTTGGGAGACACTATCAGCAACAACCTACTATGGGAGAGAACAAACCAGATAACAGCGGAGCAAGAAATCAGGAAGAAGCGCTAGAAGTGGATAGGACACACATTGAGGAAAGCACCCAACCGAGTCATAACACAAGCCCTCACATGGAATCCTCAAGGCCAAAGGAGAAGAGGAAGACTAAAGAACACATTGCACCAAGAAATGCAGACAAACATGTGAAGAATGAACAAAGATCGGGTAGAAGTAGAAAGGAAGGTTCCGGACAGAGTGAGTTGGAGAATACTAGCCGGCGGCCTATGCTCCATTAGGAGTAACAGGCGTAAGCAACGATTTACTAAATAAAATTAAATTTTACACAAATTTGTCACAGGAAGATACAAATTCATTAGACATTAACAATTTTAAAAAAATGTTTTTAAATAGTTGGGATCATGAGTCAATTCAAGCTAGATCACAATGGAGAATCTGGAAGAACTGGACGGCCGTCTCGTCGTATTGTGGGACTCCTCAGTAGTGCGCATCTACGACCTCGCCTCTCGAGATTCGAACCCGGGACCTATCAGTCTCTCGCATGAGCGATTAACCACTGAGCCGGCAGTTGAAGGTTGTAGTAAGATGTATGTGTTGGCGATCTCATGGTATAGAAATAATACCAAAGTCGTGACAAAGTATACAAGTGGGACTACTGAGCATACGAGAGTTCCTGCAAGGTCATAAACAACAGATGAGGGTGTTTTTGGATACACTTAAACAAACAAGTACAGTAAAACAATCACTGATTATAATCATTGGTTATAATAATCATGATAATTGTTTCCATTATACTAAACTTGTTCTCTTCATGAAAGTAGGTCACAACAATCTCAACCATTGAAATTACTATAATATCTAGAAAACCCTTCTGATAGAAATTTTTTTCGTTTAATTAACTGGTTTACTGAAATGATTGAATTTGGAGAAATTTATTTATATTTAATTTTAACATATATATTCAACACAACCGAAATTCAATTGATGAAAATTAAAGCTGTACTGATGATGTCGTTCAGAAGAACGATAAAAGCTCCACGACTAAACCATCCAACTCAGAGAACAAAACTCCATCAAGAACGATAAAAGCTCCACGACTAAGCCATCCAACTCAGAGAACAAAACTCCACGGAAAATGAAAGCATATTATTTGATTATTTAATAATAAAAATCTGTCTCAAAACCATTTTTTTCATATTTAACAGTTTCTTTTTGAAAGTAATTAAATGGAAAACACTATTGCATTTGAATGACTACCGACTACTGAAACGGTGGTGTATACTACTGATGTCGATAGATATAAGTAGTATGTATCATCAGTCGAAAGTGGAATATCTGGCAGTAGAAGGTTAAGAAGATCAAGGAAAAGAGAATGAGAATAAAGAATGATCGCTGCAGAAATGAAGAAATAGTAAAGTTTGAGACAGTTGATTAACATTTTGTAAATGAAGTATTTACTGTAATTTTGTAATCATAATTGATCGATCACTGGGTGGTGATCAATGTCATGTGTGTCAAGTCCTTATTTAGTGTAGATCGAATGCTATCGACCATGTTGCAATGTGGCCACCAGTCTAGGTGACTCGAAACTGCGTGCACTATATATTGAAATTAAATAGTGGTTGGAGGTAGTCGACAGTGATCAATCAATTGTGATTACATCTCAGTCCTACAGGAGGTCAGTCACGGTCCGGATAGCTCAGTGGTAATGTCTCTAATTGTGAAGCTGAGTGACACGAGATCGAATCCGCCAGGGAGCACCAGTTCCCTCAAGATTACAGGTACACTTTGCTGACGAGTGCCAAGTAGCACGAAAGCCGGTTCCAGGGTTTGCTGTCGACGACCTCCAAATACAATCCACTGTAATTTTGTGTGGAAATATATTCTATTATCGCCAACTGTGTTCTTGTTTACTTCAATACCAACTAGTCATACATGTATTATGTAATCGTATGATAATACTAAACTGATTTGTATGGGGATAATTGATAGTTTGAATGGAAAGAAATACTTTACCTTTAGAGCTCTAAATATATCTGTTATATCCTAGTGAAGATGAAATTAAGAGTAACTCCTTAGACCTGAAAAGATATAGTTCCATGGTAGCCAGTGAGCGACGATTGGTTTATACGACATTTGTTCCTTCAGAATCATGGAGACTAATGTTTGTGTTATATCCCAGTGAAGATTAAATTACCAGTAACTCCTGAGACCTATTAATGAACTAATATTATCTATATATTCTTATCGTATAACTATTCAGTAATTAGATTATGTATATTTATATTCCCCTTATTATAAGCTTCGTTTTGAGTTATAAATTATTATTATACCATTTACCATTCTTAAGTTATGCTCAGTTTATTAATTACAGTCTCCCACAATCACGTTCACAGCCACTTTTTGGTTTGAACTTGTATAAATGTTATTTCCTATTTTATGGTGTGATGAAGTCTGTTTGGCTTGTATATAAACCAAGTATGTTTGAAATGAATGATTCGCATAATGGAAGCTGTTATTGATGTTCTGGACTCAAATGGATGGGCTAGGCGAACAAAAGACTAATAAGGACGCTAGGCGATCATACCGCTCGGACGTCATTGGTTTAGTACAGTAAAAGAGTGAATAAGTTATATTTCGATTGGCGAATAAATTACGTGATAAAAAGCCAAACTTCAAGACACAACAATATCCATAGGGTTACAGAATAATGATGTAGTGAAACTGATGCACTTGTTAGTTTTGAATACACATCTCCATCAAATATCATATTCAAGAACTTTATCATTGAATTATTTAGAATGGGACTTAACCCACTTTGATATCACCTAATCTGGTAGCTATATCAATAACTTGATCAAGAGATAAAATTGAATTAACACTAAGGATAAAACAATACTTATTATTCAACAGATGACTGGCAAGTTAATGAGAGCTTATTGGTACTTCCAAAACAAATTCTTACTGTATAAGTAACAAAATGACACACATCAAGTAATCATTAACCCGATAAATGCATTTCATTAATGATTGAGACTTGTAATTAGTGAAAATATAACTAATTTTTTAACTACAATATTATTTCAATAGTTGAGATCATGAGTCAGTTGAAGTTAGACAACCATGGAAAGTCCGGAAGCACTGAAAGGCCATTTCGTCCTATTTTGAGACTCCTCGGCAGTGCACATTCACAATACCGCCTCTCAAGATTCAAACACAGGATCTGTTAGTCTTGCGCGCGAACGAATAACCTCTAGACCACTGAGCCAGTTGGCATCCAACGGTGTTAATGTCTAACTTCAACTAAGCCACGAAAATGAGAGACACTTCTAACACTGTATTTAGTGAGTTACTATCGCACAACAGACTCTATTGAACACCATTGGTCACTGCTTGTCACTAGATCTTCAAGAAATATCTGTTGAAGCCAGTAACTAGTGAGCATATGCTGATTAGTATCAGTAGGGGTTTTTGTGGATATTATAGTAATTTCAATGGTTGAGATTGTTGTGACCTACTTTCATGAAGAGAACAAGTTTAGTATAATGGAAACAATTATCATGATTATTATAACCAATGATTATAATCAGTGATTGTTTTACTGTACTTGTTTGTTTAAGTGTATCCAAAAACACCCTCATCTGTTGTTTATGACCTTGCAGGAACTCTCGTATGCTCAGTAGTCCCACTTGTATACTTTGTCACGACTTTGGTATTATTTCGATACCACGAGATTGCCAACATATACATCTTACTACAACCTTCAACTGCCTACTGATAATTGGCCTACAGAGGTATCTAACCTAGTAACTGGCACATAGTCATTCTGTAGTTGTGATCATAGTCAATCGCGACTCGACGCCTACTATAACATCATGAGTCCACTGAAGCTAGACCACCAAGGAAAATATTATTATTTATAAATGTGTAAACATATACATCATCTCACTGTTCTAGATGAAATCATAGAGTGTTTAATATAGTAAATAAAACTCATTACATTACATTATATATTATTCATTGAACTTACTTTTAATGGTCTACCAACACGTACAACATCTATAGTCATTGTTGGTGCACGACTACCTGATTGTTGATTGACTAATTTATTTCTTAATTGTACTGTATGTAATTGTGATTGATAAAATGATGCTTCAGAAAGATCATCTTCATCTTCATCTTCTCCATTCTCCATTTTGTTGTGTTTTTATTGAAGGAACTTATTAATGAATGTCTAATTAATAAATTTAGTCTAATCACAATGAATATTTGATTATTCAGTGAAAATGTTTTAGATGATTTAAATCTATATGGTTTCTCCTAATTCATGTTTACTTTTATATCCAAGCCTATGTAGTTTTCAAATGATTGAATTACATTTGTATCCTACACTATTTCCCAGTTGTATACAAGTACACAAGTACACATATATGACAAGCACACACACACACATCAGTGTATATTATCAATATCCCAATGATGTACACACACACATACACACACACGTGCGTGAGCGTGCGCGTATTGTTACCTTGCTTACTTCCGTTTATTTTTACAATATATCACATGTTATTCTAATAATATTATAAAACTAACAAAAGAATATTCGATTCAATAATAAGAAACACAAAATCATATCATGTGTAGATGAGGAATATAGAGTTACATAGAAACAAATGATACCTTCCATTATTGACTGTTAGATGATAACACAACATACCATAATTAGTAGGGGGAAAAAGGAGAGAATACCAAGATACAATCATAATGATGATGATGTAAACTCTTACAAAAGAATCATTGAGTTAATCAATTCGATCATGTTGAATAGATCATCCATTTTTGTGAATAAATGTACACTTTAATCTTTAATAATAATGTGTTGTAATCAGAAAGGAAAATAGATAGATAAACATACTATTTTATAATATGTGTATATATGTTTGTTGACAGATTGATAGACAGGTAAACTTTCTGATTGGTTGAAATTTGATATTTTGAACTGACATAATATATTTTATAAATCAATAATGTGATAAAACAAAGTATTACTGAAAATGATCAATGTTCAATGAAATATAAATTGATAAGATAGCACTGGTAACGGCTTCTCACTTGAGATTAGATGGTGGTTGGAGGTAGTCAACAGGAAACCCTGGACCGGGGTTTCGTGCTACTTGGCACTCGTCAGCAAGGTGTACCTGTAATCTTGAGGGAACTGGTGCTCCCTGGCGGATTCGATCTCGTGTCACCCAGCTTCACAGTCAGAGACGTTACCACTGAGCTGTCCGAGCCACGAGATCGAATCCGCCAGGGATCACCAGTTCCCTCAAGATTACAGGTACACCTTGCTGACGAGTGCCAAGCAGCACGAAACCCCGGTCCAGGGTTTCCTGTTGACTACCTCCAACCACCATCTAATCTCAATACATAGTGCCCGCAGTGTCGAGTCACCTAGACTGGTGGCCACATTGCAACATGGTCGATAGCATTCGATCTGCACTAATAAGGACTAGACAAGCATGACATTGATCACCACCCAGTGATCAATCGATTGTGACGGCTTCTCACTAGAAATCCAGGAGTATCTCCTGAAGTTAGTCACTAGTGACCAGTTAATTATTATCAGAATGGGTTTTGTGAAGATTTTTAGAAATTTCACAGGTTGAAATCATGAGTCAATTGAAGCTAGACCACCATGGAAAACCTGGAAGCACTGGAAAGCCGTTTCGTCCTAGTGTGGGACTCCTCGGCAGTGCGCATACACGTAGCCCCAAATACTAACCATAAGTACTTCAGAAGATATTATTGTTAAATAAATGATTACGTTAGTTTACACTGGAAAATCCAAACGATTATTTTACATACAAAACATAGAACCCAAGTTAAAAAATCGATAACTTTGCATTCACAGATTGACCAATAACACTTGTTTTTTATGTTTTTCAATGAGGTAGTGTTACTTCTAGACACCTCATAACTCGTAATGTCTGACATGAAACTAATGTAATCTTCAACTTTGTAAATACATCCTAGTCCTGCAAGAGATCAATCGCAGCAGGGATAGCTCAATGGTAAAGTTTTTGACTGTGAAGCTGGGTAACATAGGATCGAATCCATCTGAGAGCGTCAGTTCCCTCAAGATCAAAGATACATCATTCTGATGTGTACCAAATAGCACGAAACCTAAGTCCAGGATTTTCTATCGATTCCCTTCAACCACCATCTCATCTCAACATAGTGCACTCAATGTCGAGTCATCCAGACTAATGGCTACAGTGCAACTTGGTCGATAGAATTACATTGATCACTGACTACTAATCAATCAAATGTAACTCTTCAACTTTAAATAACGCACATATTATTGATTGATAGTAATCAGCTTTAAACAATCCACTGGAAAATGAAAACAAGTCAACAGACACTGATTAGTTTCATTCCTGAATATTAAAAATAAATTTAGAATAACATTGATATAAGCGAACAATATGTAATTCAATTAGATCTTTATCAGGCTTTACTCTAATATACAGTAATGTATTTATATGTATATATGAAATTATCAAACCAATCAAGGTAGTTTATGAGTTAATGATGATAACAATGAAAACGATTACATAATAAGTGAAAAGTACAAATTGATAGTGTGATAACAGGTGTACTAGTTTTTAATAAGAATAATAAAGGCTTAAATCAGTGGAAGACCGTTTCGTCCTATTGTAGGACTCCTCAGCAGTGCGAACCTATGATCCCACCTCGCGAGATTCGAACCTAGGATCTATAAGTCTTTCGAGCGAACGCTTAACCTCTGAACCGATTAGCATACAACAGTGTTAATGTCTAACTTCAACCAATCCACGAAATATTATATAACTGAATATTTCAGATACACACTATTAATGAATCCCATTAAGCAAAATATCATTGTTTATATCTTACTCTAGTTATGATATTCAAAGATTCAACATGAAACTTAAACTTTTGGTTCATCCATATTTTAGTGTGTTTGTAATAATAAATCATGCAGTAAATAAATTTACACGGTTCAACTATTTTATGGTGTGTACATAAGTGTGCGTTAATCTATCTATGTAGTTGATGGTTCCTTGTGTGTGTGTGTGTGTGTGTAGAAGGGTAAATGAAGATAGATTTATCATTGATATACGTACTAGTAACTTCATTCAAAACTCCTGTATAACATTCCAAATAAGGAGAAATAGGGATAGGTAAATATTACAATTTGATCAATAAAGGTATCATTTCTTCTATTTATGAATCTTGACATTTAAACAATATGGAAACGGATTAATTAAATAAGAGAATAATAATAATAATAATAATAATAATAATAATAATAATAATAAAGTCGAATGGTAATAATTGAACTTATCATGTATTAGTAAACCTAAAAAAATCTTCATGTATCACTGACAAATTAGAAGAAGAATTAATGAACTTCGAATAATGCCTAAAAGACAACTGTTACCCACAGAAATTTATTGACAAAATTTAGTTGAAGTTAAACATTAATAACGTGGGATGCCGACCGGCTCAGTGGTTTAGTGGTTAAGTGCTCGCGTGCGAAACCGATAGATCCTGGGTTCGAATCTCGAAAGACGGTAACATGGATGTGCATTGCTTCGGAGTCCCATACCAGGATGAAACGGCCATCCAATGCTTCCAGGTTTTTAATAGTAGTCTAGTTTCAATTGACTCATGAATTCAACTATTAAAGTATAAAAAACCTTAAGAAAACAAAATGGAAGTAACTACGGTTAGTAATAAAACAAATATCTATAAATCTGGACTTCAAAGGTGATGATATAGCAAACACAATCAGCAGGAGACTGAACACTGCCCTAGGCAAAACTTATCCGGCAACCAAACTATTAATTCTGTATTAAAACAACATGTTCAATAACTCAATTAAAAGTTGACACGCACCCCTTTCATGTTACCGCTAAATTTATGTGTACCTGCCGGAACAGCTACAATGGCCGGACAGAAAGGAGGGCATATTTTAGATTTTTTGAACATATTCCAAAAAGCCTCAGAACAAGAGAAAGAAAGACTCTAAACAATGCAACTACCAAACATCTCCTTGTCACAGGACATCAGGTAGATGCCCTACAATCGTTCAAGGTGATTGGTAAGCCGCCAAATTCTAGTCCTTTGAAGTTTGATGAAACCGTTTTCAAAAGGCTTCAAAAACCTGACTTATGTATTCAAAAGTAGATGGTTAATAATCTTTCCTTACCTTGGTGACAAATATTCCTTCACTGCATCTTAAAGGTCTTGTTTTTTTTAAACTCTTTCTTGCATTTATCACATCATGGAGTTTTATTTCAACTATCTTCCAAATTAGTAATCTTATTTTATTAATTGAGCTTTACTCATTTTATTCGTATCATCATTTACTCATTATGTAATCACTTGTTTCTAACCCTTTGAACTGTTGTCATGATCAATGTGGTGGAATTTTCCTTTACATAAGGTATATAATTACAATATTCAGTCTATTCAATTTACTTACACCTTTACTATACTATACGAATATGTCTTTAATATCACTTCCAATCAAACTCATTCATGTAAGTCATTTACATCCATTATATAATTATGATGTTTAAATATCCAAGATTGTAAGCAGATGATGAGAACCTATGAAATAGAATGAATCCATACTATTCTACTAGAATCTTTGTTCTTGCTATTTTCATGTGTGTTATTGAAATACTTTTGAGTAGCCCGTTGATTTAACTTCAATTTGATGAAATGATCATGTTAATGAAATATAAATGCCGGCTACCTTCATCTATAATTATAAACTTAATTCACGTTAGAGAATAATGGAATAAAGTGAGTCAAATACGAAAATGAATCTTGAATATGCATACAATCGTTACCTTAGACAGCAAGAGAAACGAAGTGAAGCAGTTGACTAGAGAAGGCAGATATACCAGTTCGATTCGATACAGCGTGAATGAATATTTATAGACAGACGAAACTAAGCTAATGCCACGTGATGAATACGGGAAGTAACATAAACATATAAGCTCATAAAAACAGTCAAGGTTGATAAGCGAATAATTGATGAGATCAAAATGTGACCTAAGGCGAATAAATAAATTGGTCTGTCCGACAGCTAGAATAACCCGTGTGTACTTGACATAGTGTTAGACACTACAAATTTAT